ACTGGGCTGCGAGGGTCGTGGGTAGTGTCCTGACTCCATGGTTCTTGTCGTGGTTGGGTCGCGCCTCCACCGTGAGCCGCTGCTTTCCTCACTGCGGGTGACCGAGTCCAGGGGAGGGAGCTAGGCGGCGGCCTGGGATTCTCTGTCTCCCCCCTCTACACTGGCTTTCAGCGTAAGATGAAGCCTGTGTTACCGTCACTACCACCAGGTCCAGGCATTTAGCCTGATCTGTTCCGGGAGGATGCAGCCCGTGGTGGGGTTTGTACAGGCGCCAAGAGATCGGAGACAGGTCGTTTAGCCTGGTGAAGTCGCGCAGGGGGTTTCCCTCACGCATTTCCAGTTTGGATAGTGTTCCAGAATCCGGGCATAGGGTTGTGAGTCAGGGCGCTCCCAGCTCCTCGGGAACGTGGTGCTGGAAGGCGCGGTCTCCTGGAGCAGTATCAACTCCAAAAGGTAACATTACCCCACGTTTCGCGGGCTGGGGATGACAGTGACCTGGATATGATTTGGCCGTTTCACGTGCCACTCCTGACAGGTTAAGTAACAGGTACTGTACAGAGATCCAGCTAAGCCTTGCCTTTGGGCACTCTTTGTCCTTCCTTTTCTGAAAATGTCGCTATTCTCGTACTTCATACTAATCTATTCTTCATTCACAAGCTGCAGACCATTGAGTCAGTTATTTCCCACAGGAAGAGAGCTAGAGAGCTAAACCTCTTATCTCTGCCGCAGCATTAGTGGGCTTCGCTGCCCCCCTGGCCTCAGGAATCTGTTTTTGTAGCTGTTTTTTCTTCATCTCTGCCTCTTCATGATAGAGATATATCCTTGTCCGCTCTGATCTTTACTGATACACATGCCAGGTACACTGAATTAAATTCTGCATTTTAACAAGATCTCCAGATATCTATTAGAATCACTTGAAGGGTCTTATTAAAGTGTAGGTTATGATTCAGGCTTCCTACAGTGGAAAGGCAGAGTCTCAGCAAGGGGTCGAACAGGAATGAACTAGTTCAAAGCCCACCTGCCTTTTTACTTGAAACTTTCATCTTCCTTATCATTCAATTCCATTTTTCCATAAAATTTTTGAAGCCCCTGCATATAAGGAAGCGCATAGAAGAATTGATGCTTTTGAGTTATGGTGTTGAAGGAGAATATAACAGTACCATGGACTGCCAGAAAAAAAACAATCTGTATTGGGAGAAGTACAGTCAGAATGCTCCTTGGAAGCCAGGATTGCCAGACTTCATCTCTTTTACTTTGGACATATTGTCAGGAGGGACCAGTCCCTGGAGAAGGATATCACATTTGGTAAAATGGAGGGTTGGAGAAAAGGAGGAAGACCCCCAAAGAGATGGATTGGCACAGTGGCAGCAGTGATGGGCATAAATATGAGGTTGGTGCAGGACCAGGCAGTGTTCCATTATGTTGTGTATAGGGTTGCTATACATAACAACAACATATTCCTTATTTTCCAGGTTTTCACTAAAAAGTGTTCCAGGAACCTATTATGCTAAGCACCTATTTTTAGATGGTTTACTATCTTCTTCCCAGCTCTCCAAGGTGAGTGAAAGCATAGCTAAGGAACATTGCCAAGCTCTCCACAGACATTAGGGCCCTTGAGGATACCCAGAGCTCTGCCAAGAAGTGGGATAGCATGTGAGGAAGCAGCCACCCCTTCTCTAGTTGCTGCCTCCCTGGGCTGAGCTCACAATCTGTGCAGGGCCTGCAGCACACCTAGCTGAGCAGTAACCAGTGACGATGCTGCTTTAGAAAAAGAGAAATATGTTAGAGATATCGGTAAGATATTTGCTCTCGAGCTGAGTCGTAGACACACGAGTCTGTTTTATTCTAGGCTACATACATTTTATCTACTTTTTTTTTTTTTTTGCTTTCCCTCTCATCCAAGTTAATATGTGTCTACACTACAGTTAGACACCTTCCCTTCTCACTACTGTTAATGTGCAAACCTTTTCTTGACTTTATAATAGTGGTCACATATAATAATTGTACTTTTGCGACTGACTTCCTCCACTGCATAATGTAGTCCAGGTTCATCCTAGTTATCAGGTGTTTTTCAAATTGTTCACTGTTCTTTCATGTTGTGTAGTATTTCATTGTGTTTATGTATTTGGAGTCCTAGTGCGGCTTAATGCACTAAACTGAAAGTTCTGTTTGAACCTCAGTGTCAGTGATTCAAGCTCACCAGCTACTTCTCGGAAACCCTATGCAGGGCCGCTATGAGTTGAAACCAGCTCGATGGCACCTAACCGTACCAATATATATCTATTTATGTCATGACTCTTTTTCTCTAGAATATATAACAAGTAGAGGGATTACTACTGGGCCATATGGTATTTCTATTTCTAACTTTCTGAGGAAGTGCCATACTGGTTTTCACAGTAGTTGCACCATTTTTGCAGTCCCAGCAGCAATGTATGAGGGTTCTAGTCTCCCCACACCTCTGTCAGCTTTTGTGTTGCTGTTGTTTTGAACTTCGTGTTGTGGGTGAATGCACTGGACTGCAAAGTTGATTTGAACTGCAAAACCAGCAGTTTCAAGTTCACCAGCTGCTTCTTGAAACCCTATATGGGGTCTCTATAGGTCAGAACTGACTTGACAGCACTTAATAACAAATTCCTGGTAGATGAGATGATACTTCAGTGGTGTTTCAATCTGCATCTCTTTCATGGTCATTAGCATTTCTTCATAGGTTTGTTGGCTGCCTAAGTGCTTTTTTTTTTAAGTTTTGATTGTGAATTGAGTGATACTTTACATGGGAGATCATCGGTTTTACACTCATACTATCGTATTTTTGTCTCATTACATCACCATTCATACAACAGTATTTGCTTCTGTTCCCTCTGCTAAGCACCTTTTTGGTGAAGTATGTGTTCCTACCCACTGGCCCAAGTTTTATTTTTTTTATTGTGAATTGAGTGAAAGTTTACAGGGCAGATTATCAGTTTTACATTCAACAAACCACACACTTTGTTTCATTACAATGATTATAATCCCCTCCATGTACCATCAGTTAACAGTATTTCTCCCTATTCATTTTAGCTCTTTTTTTAAACACTCTGGCATGTATAATAATTTAAACCACCAAAGGGCACATTGTGCAAGCCTGCCTCCTGGCCACCAGCTCTCAGTCCCTCTAATTCCATGAATCTAGAATCCTTAGCTGTTCCCTCTCTCCAGGTCCCCATCTCTGCCTCCATCTCTGGTGTCACTGCTTCTTTGTGTAAGGTCTCGCATTCCACTTGTGCTCTTCTTCCTTGATGGTCCTAGGGTCCTCTGTTTCTGGACTGTAAGATAACTATTCCACCGTTTTTGTTACAAAACTTATACCTTTCAGTTGTGACAATCACAATTAGTCATGATAGCAGTTACTCACTATTGAATCATAAGAATCTTATCCCTATCTCTTTTCACCAGACCCATCTAGACGAGATGCCCACTGCCCAATTTTAGTTGGGTTGTTTTTCTTTTTGTTGTTGAAGTTTTCTATAAATTTTATAGATTGGTCACATGTCTGATATGTTATTGCCCATTCCCCCCCCCCCAAGTCAATGGGTTCTCTTTTCACTCTTTTGGTAAAATTTTTTGATGCACATGGTGTCTAATGTTTAGGACATCCCTGTCATCTAGTTTTCTGTTGTGTGTTTTCATTTATGTTTGTAGCATATTTATGCCATGTAAAGATGAGGCTTTCTACTCCCGTAAAGATTTACACCCTCGGAAACCCTGTACAGGGTCGCTATGGGTCGGAACCGACTCGATGGCACTTAACAACAACAACAATTAGGGTCCCTAATTTATCTTTATATTTCATTGATGGTCTTTATAGTTTAAGGTTTTACATTTTCCTGCAAATGGGTATCCAGTTTTGTCAACATTTTTGTTAAAGAGACTAACTCTTCCCCATTTAATACATTTTGACCCTTCGTCAAAGATCAGTGTTCCATAGATGGATAGATTTACTTCTAGGTTCTTAATTCTGTTCCATTGGTTTATGTGACTGTCATTGTACCAATACCAGGCTGTTTTGACTACTGTGGCTTTGTAGTCGATTTTGAGATAGGGAAGTGTGAGGACTCCTATTTTGTTCTTCTTTAGTGGTGCTTTGCTTATCTGGGGTCCCTTTCCTTTCCATATAAAGATGGTGATTAGTTTTTCCATGTCATTAAAAAATGATATTGGAGCCTGACTTGAAATTACATCTTGTATGTAGACCATTTTGAGTGGTATTGACATTTTCACAGTGTTAAGTCTTCTTATCGCTAAGGGTGGTATATACGTACTTTCACTTTTGCAGATCTCTTTTGATTACTTGTAGTAGTGTTTTGTAGTTTTCTTTGTGTAGGGATTTGTTTCTTTTGTTAGATTTAATCTTTTGGGAGGTTATTGTAAATGGTATTTCAGAACTTTCTTTAATAGTGTAAAGGAATCTTACTGCTTTATGTATGTTGTGTACCCTATAATTTACTGAGTCTTTCAATGAGTTCCAGTCATTTTCTTGCTGAGTCTTTGGGATTCTCTATGTATAGAATCACATCATCTGCAAGTAGACATAATTTTACTTATTTCCCAATTTGGGTGCCTTTTCTTTTCCTTTCTTGCCTTCCAGCTCTAGCTAAGACTCCTAGCAAAGTATTGAATAGGAGTGGTGACAGAGGACATCCTTGTCTAGTTCTTGTTCCTAAAGGGAATACTTTTGGTCTTTTTCCATTGAGACTAATGTTGGATGTTGGCCATTTTATACACACTCCTTGTATGTGTGATATGTGTCAGAATTGTAAACTCCTGAGACCCCTGGCAGTGAGCATCAGTGTTACGTACTGAGCCTGCACTAAGATCACTGCTTTCTTCCTATGGCTACACCATGGTCACTGCTATTTGTACATGGGCCACCTATTCCTCTTATCTTTGAGAACGAGTTTTATCATCCCTGGTGGGTGTGGCTTGCTTCACATTGTCTCCCTTTTTTGTTTTGTTTTTCTCAGCTGTATCCTTTCTCTGAGTTGGAAACCAGCTCGAGGCAGCCATGCTCCAGACGGTCTGGCCCCAGGTGAGCTGTGGATCCTTCAGCTCTTCCTCTAGGCAGCTTCACATGGAGGAAAAGGGAGCCAGAGCTGGTGAGCCTCCATGCTTCTGCCTGCAGGACTGGAGGCTGTGGAAAGAGAGGTGATGTGCAGGGATGGGCAGAGAGACCCGGATGGTGGGAGATGGAGGCCACAGTAGAATATGCCAAGGAGCACACCCTGCTGAGTTGGTGGTTTCCTCTGGTCCAGAAGTTGCCCCAGCAGAGGGGTCTGAGGGGGTGCAGAAGCTGCCCATCTAGGGTGTTCTATATGTGGGCACGACTGTAGGATACCAGCAGAGAATTGAGACCCAGTGATGGACCTGATGGTGAGTGGAGATGGATGGGACAGATCAGTGTAAAGGACAGCTAGGCCTCTAATTCAGAGAAAGAGGAGAAGACCATGGGGAGCCGGGTCACACTAGAGAAAGGCAAGCAAGTCCTGCGGACAGGAGGTTTTATTGCATCCTTCAGAGCCTTTCAGGGATTGGGTTGCAGTCCTCCATCTGATAAGAGTGTTGGGCCCTCTCCTCAGGAAAATAAACATGCAAACCAAGTTTTCTAGGCAATTTCAGAGACTTCATGGACCCCCCCCCCCGAAGCTCATTCATGGGCTGCAGCTTGGGAATAATCATCGAAATGGAATCATCAGTAGCATCGTTTGAGGCTTGCTGTGTGGCAGGCACTATACTAAGCATTTGCCTGGGTATTCAGTCCTGATAACTGCCCTCTAAGTCAGGTTATGTTCTTTGTACCAGAAAAAAAAAAAAAGGAGGCAAAGGGGAGTTCAAATAACTTGTTGTAGATTGCACAGTTACTGTGTGATTCTTAACTGCTTAGCAGGATAGTGTCTACAGAGCAAGTTAACTTAGTCAAACTAGTGACAGCTGTGCATGGGAGAATTTGGAGAGGAGGTTCAAAAGCAAGGCGATCAGTTCAGCAGATATCCACTAGCACAGAGGACATGGGCTGCATCAAGGAAAGTTAAAGAGGAAGGGCACTTCCAAACAACTTTGAAGATATAAAGATCTTTTGGATGCAGACAGTCAACGGGTTGGAGGTGGCAAAAAGGAAGAGGATGTTCCCAGATGGTGGATGGTGGTGATGCCAGCTGAGGTCTGAGTTTAGGATGAGGTGTCAGTTTACTAAGGGAAAGGATGTGGCAGAGGGCAGTGAAGGTATTGAGTTTTGTTCAGAGAACATTGCATGATCACATAGTAGTCCAAGATCACATAGAAACACTCAGAGTTTCAACTAGGATTGTTCATGGGTAGAAGTCAATAGGATCAAGCAAGACAGATCCTCACAGAGAGGAAATCCCTGTAGGTGAGTTTCTAGAGTTGTTCCAAAAGACTGAGGAGGCTGAGGGAGATCCAGCCATAGACAAGGAGCTGCCTGGGGCAGGGCCCACAGCATCAGGACTGAGTGGTAGTCCTACTGACCACATGGCTTAGTGTTGCAAAGAGGAGAAGCCAACAGGAAAGAAGGCTGCTCTTACATCTTCCCAAACCTTGGGAGAAATGGTGAGGTCTTGAGAAAAGTTGAGAAGGATGATGCTTGAATGGGAGAAGGTCACAGGAAAAGCTATCAGGAGGTACTCAAGTAGAGGTCACACAGCCCCTTGTTGGGGTCTGGCGGGCATCAGGCACCTGTGGGGACTGGCTGATGTAGAGGCCATGGCTATTATTGGTTCTTTGCGAGTGACTGAGGCTTGAGGGTGAGGTGCGGGCAGCAGAGCTGCTGAGGCTGGTGCTGGGAACAGCCAAGGCCTCCAGAGGCTGAGGGGTCAGCTGGTGGACCTGTCCTGAGCTGCTTCTGCCAGCAAGGGATCCTGTGGTGTAGGTGGCCTGTGTAAAGTACTGAACTTGCTTAAGAGGAATTTGGTTGTGGCAAAAAAAAAAAAATTTTTTTTTTGAACTTCAACTTCAGTTGTCTTTTTAAGTGTAAAAAATGGCATGAGGCTTCTCTGCTGAAATTCTGTGGTTCCATTTCCAGGTGTTTTTTCTGAAAGCTTTCCCTTTATTAATATCGCCTTCTTCAAAAGCTCCCTCCCCAAGCCCTTATACTGCCCTCTGCCCCTCACTTAGGGCCTGAGCCATGGAATTGGCCCTAGGGCAGCAGGAACCTGTTGTTTCAGAAGTTGGTGACCTTTGAGGACGTGGCTGTGTACTTCACGCAGGCGGAGTGGGATGGCCTGTCCCCCACACAGAGGGTCCTGTACAGGGATGTGATGCTGGAAAATTATGGTCATGTGGCCTCCCTGGGTAAGGCTCCCCTCTCCCAAGACCCTAGTTCTGCCATTTGGGGTTTCCTGTTCCTTCCCCTCAACAGGTCAAGGGTGGTCTTTAGTAATTGTTTAATGAATGAGAACCTCAGGGACAGAGACTGAGGAAGGACAAATCCCAGGTCCTTTCTGGCCCACTATAGGACTTTGCTAAGACTCACCCTATAAAAGCTGTACTTTGGACACAGTGTAGGAAAGAAGTAACTTCTGGTCACTGTTCTGTTTCCTCTCACTGTACCAAGGATCTCAGTGTACCCTTAGGTTATTTCAGGCCAAAGTCACAAACTAGTATCCCTTTGTACAACATCTCTCTGGTTTATACTGTCTGAGATCTCTGGGGCCCACATTCTGGGCTCTAACTAGCCCCCCACACCTTCTCAGGACTATTCCCACCTTCCAAGACCTCCTCCAAGTCCCCCTTGATAATCCTCATGCTTACTTTCCCTTCCCACTGCTAAAGCAAGCTGAGAAAAGACATGGGGACTCATCTGTGGGAGATTACTCACTTGTCTCTACCGTTTTCTTCTCCTGGACCAGGATTCCCACTTCTCAAACCTGCTGTGATCTCACAACTGGAGGGAGGAGGCGACCTATGGGGCCCACCTCCAGTGCCCACTGGAATGGAAATAGGCCCCCAAGGCCTGTGGACTGGTAAGAGATCACAAATTGTCCATTATGTAGGAAAGTTTAACTCTTTAGAGATAAAGCCAACTTGAACAACATAAAAGCTTGCCATATTTATTTGCCAGTACAATTTAATAAGTTTTGAATATTTGTAGAGCTAGGAATGATTAAGATAGTTTTTTAATAGATCCCATTTGTCACGGGGAGTCATAGGGAGTCCTGGTGTGGAGCTGTGGGCTAATGCGTCAGACTGCAAAGTTGTCTGAACTGCAAGGTCAGTGGTTCAAGCTCACCAGCTGCTCCTTGGAAACCCAAAACAGTATCGCTATGGGTCGGAATCGACTCAATGGCACTTAACAACAACAACAATTTGTCATAGAAGTTTGCTGTTTCTTTCTAATCCCAAGAACAGATCGCTTTCAGATGCCTCATTCTAACTCTTTGTGGTCCTAAGTTTGAAATCCCACCTTGTTCAGACAGTATTATTAGATTCAGTAATTTTTTGAGTTCTTGCTAGTTTTTAAATATTGTCCACTTAATGGGGAGAATATAGAATTAACAGTCTTCTCACACAGGCAGAATAGCCTGGTGGCTTTGGAGTAAACTTTCTTGAGTTCAAATGCCAGCTGTGCCACTTCCCTAGTTGTGTGACTGTGAGCAAGTCAGTTACTTGCATTCCTTCAGACTTAGTGTCCTCTTCTCTGAAAATTGATGGTAGTAAACTGAGGTGATAGTGCCAGTCTTACAGGTGAAGGACTAAATGAGATCACATATCAGGGGTCTAGCTTACAGTGTGTGCTCACTGAAGCATTTGTCGTTAGTATATTTTGGAAGGAGACAACTACACATAGTTAAGTAAGGTAGAAAGGAGGAAATTCTCTAATTTGGAGTTTCTCACAGGTTGATGTACATGTGAATAACCTAGAGGTCTTAAATATGCAGACTGTGATTCAGTAAGTTAGGTCTGGTCAAGATGCTACATTTCTAGTAAGTTTCCAAGTGATGCCAGAGCTGCTAATTCCCAGGTCATACTTGAAGCAGCCAGATTCGAGTTGGTTCATGCAGAGTAGCTGTCAGATGACTTCCCATTTCCCATAATGTTCAACTTGCTTTCTAGAGACGCTCTTTCATCCATCCTGTGAATCTTCTTTTTTTAAAAATGTATTGTTTCAGCCAATTTTGTCCCCTTTTGATGATCTCTGATAAAGGAAGGCGTATTTTGGAAATGGCGTCCTGGTGTGGTGCTGTGGGTTAATGTGTTGGACTGCAAGGTTGATTTGAACCGCATGGTTGGCGGTTCAAGCTCACCAGCCACTCCTTGGAAACCCTATACAGAGTTGCTGTATGAGTCAGAACTGACTCAACGACACTTAACAACATTTTGGAAATAGAGGATTTGAAGGAAGTATAATGTGCCTGACAAAAAAAAGAGGGGAATGCAGTATCGTAGCTGTTCTTCATCCAAGACTGAATTTAATTCTGTAGGCAGCAAGTAGTCTTGAAGTCTTTCTGAGGGTTATAACATCCCATTGTGATCTTGTTGTTGTTAAACTCCGTCAAGTTGGTTCCAACTCATTGTGATCTTGTGTAGGGTTCCTGAGTCTGTGAATCTCTATGGGAGAAGAAAGCCTCATCGTTCTCCTGAGGAGTAGCTGGTAGGATTGAACCATTGACCTTGTGGTTTGCAACCAAGTGCTTGGCCTACAGAGCCACCACATTCCCATAACTGAGGATAGGAAAATTAATCTAGGCAGTTTGTGTAGGCTAACTGGGATGTGGAATCAAATTGGATTCTAGGCAAGCAGAAGGGAAAGGGCAAAGGGCCCATGTCAGCAAAATGACCTTTTTAACAGTGTTCTCAGAATCTCCACCCAGTGACTTCTGTTTAAATTTCCATTTCTAGAACTGTGTCAAGTGACCATCTTCATTGCAAGAGAGGGTAGGCAACATAGCTAGCTGGGCATGTTGCTATCTGGGGAGTGGTGGTGGTGGTAGAATGTGTTAGTAAAGAGAAAGAAAAGAATGGAGCATTTTCCACACCCTGGGATTTGATAAGTATAAGGTCATCAAGATAGAAAAAGTGGCAAAGTATATAACAACATACATATGTTGTTGTTAAGTGCCATCAAGTTGGTTCCAACTCATAGTGACCCTGTATAGGGTTTCCGAGGAGCAGCTCGTAGATTTGAAGTACCGACCTTGTGATTCCCAGTCCAGTGCTGATCCTACAGCACCACACCAGGAGTCCATATTATTGTTGTTAAGTGAATAAGAAGTATAAATTCGAATCACTGTGATTTAGCGGGAGATTATGTGGCGCTGTAGGCTAATGCATCAGACTGCAAAGTCATTTGAACTGCAAGGTCAGTGGTTCAAGCACACCAACTGCTCCTCGGAAACCCTATACAGGGTCACTATGGGTCGGAATTGACTCGACGGCACTTTACAACAACAACTTATCAGATTAGCCTTAATTGCTGTTAGGTGGTCATACCTTAGTAAATTTTCATTTTCATTCTTGTAACTGTTTGATATTACAGATGTGTATGCATTAACTTTTATAATTGGGAAAAGAGTATTTTATTTTGAAAATACTTGCTAGGGAAATCCAAGTCAGTTGGGTCTACTGAAAATAATTACGATGAAATATTGGTGCAGGCATATTACACATGGTTGAGTAGAGAATGAGAAAACCAAGGCAGCATTTTTGGGCATGCTTTTTAAGAAATTTGAGAGCAAATGCAGAGATCAGTAACTCTGAAGCCTATTGAAGCTAAAGAAACAATTTTGTGGAATGATAATTTTAGGTTTGAGGAGAGAGGGAAAAGGTAGGAATATTCTGGGGAACAGGTAGGATAAAAACATCAGGGACCCTTCAACAAAGTCATCCTAAAGTAGTTGGAGGACTTTTGGGATGTCTAGAGTTTAAGTTCTTAGGAAAGAAAAAAATTATTTTCTTTTTGCTTTCTAGTGCTGCTGCTGTGTGTCTTTCTTGTTAAGCATTTTCTGTTTTTATTAACAAGTGCATAGGGATGGCTGAGAAAACTGCAGAGAAGAAAGAGCCCAGGCTGGGGGGTGAGAGCTGGAGCTTTGTTCCACTGCTCTCACCTTTACCCTCCAGTGGTGATACCCTTTACAGTGTTCTTGCCTTAGGTCAAAAGAAACTGGTAATGTTTTTAAATCATTATTTTAAGAATTATAACACTGGCAAATGCTCAAAACAGTATAGAAAGGTACAAAGTGGGGGAAAAAAAAAGTATCAAATGTGTATTCTTCCAGAAGTTTTCTAGGTTTTTGCTTTTTCCTTTACATAAATGGGACGACTTTATATACTGTTTCTCAATTTGTTTTTCTACTTAATGGTGTATCTTGGGTATTTTGTGTGTGTGTGTGTGTGTGTGTGTGTCAGCACATATAGCTACATTTTATTTTTACCAGCTTCATACTGTTCTACTGTATAAATGAATCTTAGGTTTTTAAATCTAGTCTGATGATTTTAGAGAGCCCCTTGATTATTATCCCTTGCTCCTTCTAGCACAATTTTTATTTTCTAATATGGTTCTTACATGATGTTTTCTATTATAGATGTTGATATCCAGACTGACAATAAAGTGACAAAGGAAATGTGTGAAGAAAAAGAAAGTATATCATTTAAACTTCCAAAGGACTTTTCCCAGGAAACAAATCTTTCAGATGCCTATGTTCTAGAGAAGCAACAGGAAGTCTACCCAACAGGTGTGAAAAAAGAAGACAGCAGTGTCACTGATGGGTCAGTAAAATGTGAGACAAGCCCGCTGGAGGAATGTTGCCTTAGTCAAAGCCCAAATCTGTATTACTGTCATACTGCTGCCTCTGGAGAGCAGCCCCTTGAGAACATAGAATCAGGGAAAGTCTTCAGTGCCAACATGAAGTGTACTCAGCATGCAATAGTTGATACTGAGGAAAAATTTTTCAAATGTGAAGAACTAGTGGAAACATTCAGGTGTGACTCTCAGTGTAATCAGCATCAAGATAGAGATATTAAAGAGAAGCCCTATCAGTGTAAGGAATGTGGCAAAGCCTTCAGTGTTAATGCAAAATTAACTTGGCATCAAAGACTTCATAGTGGAGAAAAACCCTTCAAATGTGTGGAATGCGGGAAAAGCTTTAGTTACAGTTCCCATTATATTACACATCAGACAATCCACAGTGGGGAGAAGCCCTATCAGTGTAAGGTGTGTGGGAAAGCCTTCAGTGTTAATGGGAGTCTAAGTAGGCACCAGAGAATCCACACTGGTGAAAAGCCCTATCAGTGCAAGGAATGTGGAAATGGATTCAGCTGTAGCTCTGCATATATTACACACCAGAGAGTCCACACTGGAGAGAAGCCTTACGAGTGTAATGACTGTGGGAAAGCTTTCAATGTTAATGCAAAACTAATTCAACACCAGAGAATCCACACTGGAGAGAAGCCCTACGAGTGTACTGAGTGTGGAAAAGGCTTCAGGTGCAGCTCCCAGCTAAGGCAGCACCAGAGCATCCACACTGGAGAGAAGCCTTACCCGTGTAAGGAGTGTGGAAAAGCCTTCCATAATAATGCGAAACTCATTCAGCATCAAAGAATCCACACTGGGGAGAAGCCATACGAGTGCACTGAATGTGAAAAAGCCTTTAGCGTCAAAGGGAAATTAATCCAGCATCAGAGGATCCACACTGGGGAGAAGCCCTATGAGTGTAATGAGTGTGGAAAAGCCTTCCGATGTAACTCCCAGCTTTGGCAGCATCTGAGAATCCACACAGGAGAGAAACCCTATGAGTGTAATGAGTGTGGAAAAGCCTTCAATGTTAATGCAAAACTAATACAGCATCAGAGAATTCACACTGGGGAAAAGCCCTTTGAATGTACTCAGTGTGGGAAATGCTTTACTTCTAAAAGAAACCTGCTTGACCATCACAGAATTCACACTGGAGAAAAGCCATATCAATGTAAGGAATGTGGGAAAGCTTTCAGCATCAATGCCAAACTGACTAGGCATCAGAGAATACATACTGGGGAGAAACCTTTCAAATGTATGGAGTGTGGAAAAGCATTTAGCTGTAGTTCTGACTATATCGTGCATCAGAGAATCCATACTGGAGAGAAACCCTTTCAGTGTAAGGAGTGTGGGAAAGCCTTCCATGTTAATGCCCACTTGATCCGACATCAGAGAAGCCACACTGGAGAGAAACTTTTCCGATGTGTGGAGTGTGGTAAAGGTTTCAGCTATAGTTCGGACTGCATTATACATCAGACCGTCCACACTTGGAAGAAACCCTACATTTGTAGTGTGTGTGGGAAAGCCTTTAGGTTTAGCTTTCAGCTTACTCAGCATCAGAGTGTCCACACTGAGGGGAAATCCTAAGAATGAGAAAGAAGTGGAGAACTCTCAGGGTTAATGCTGACAAGGAACAAGTATCTGCAAATTCATCCTGGTAGAAAACCCTGAGAGAAATTAATTTTCTGTTTATTCAATTTATAATCAGGGATTGATGACCAGTTAAAAAGTAACATTCATAGTAAATAACTTTATGTACCAATAATCAGTAGAAAATACAATGAAAGAAAATTCTTATTAGAATCAAGAGAACAGATTTTCTAGGAATGAACATCATAAATATGCAGGACTCATATGGAAAAAGAATCTTCACTTAGGATCACCAAAGGGAAAAACCTGAATAAATGGAGAGACAGACCTTGTTCTTAAAATTGGTGATGTGCTGTGGAGTTAGTTCCAACTCATAGCAGCCCTGTACAGAGTTTCTGAGGCTGTAAATCTTTATAAGAAGCAGAAAGGCCCATCTTTCTCCCACAGAGTAGCTGGTAGATTCAAACTGTTGACTTTATTGTTAATAGCCCAACTCGTAGCCCATTACGCTACCAGAGCTTGGCTTGGAAACCCCATGTTAGAAAGATATTAACTATCTGACTTTATTGATTTAATCAAGTTTTTATAAGCATGCTGGAAAACAATAAAATTTCACTTTCCAAGGGAAAATAAAAGTAAATCCTTATTATGCAGTAGGAAAACTTTCTAAGCATTAGATGGAAGGTAGAAATCACAAGGGAAAATATTGATAAATTGACTACTAAAAATTAAGTTTTAAGATTTTTTGTTTTGTTTTAAATAACCCCAAGTAAGGCTTAAAGATAATAAAAGGGATGTAGTATCAAAGTATTATCTAATATACAAAGAAGTCTTAGAGTAAGAGAAATTCTCTAATAAAAACTAGCAAATAACGCTAAAGGAAGCTTTTTGAAAGATGCACAAATAATTACAACAGTAGGAATTGGTGTTCAGTCTCATGAATCCTGTAAGTGTCTTAGTTCCTGGTGCTACTGTAACAAAAATACCACAAGTGGGTAGTTTTAAAGAACTTGTATTTATTTTCTCAGTTCTTTGTAGAGATTAAAGTCCACACAGTGGTCTCCTGTCTCCACAGTCCTTTGTCAGTAACCCTAGGAACTTCTTGGTTTGTGGTCCTTGGCTTGGAGGTGATCCTCACCTGGTGTCTGTTTCTCCATGTGTGTCCATGTGTAGTGTGCTTTTTAAAAATAACTCAGCTTTGTAGAACTTTTTGTTTTTTCCTGAATAAAACCTTCTATTTATGTTAGGTAACTAGGGCACTGGGACCAACGATCACCAGCTGCCCTGATAGCAAAAATTACATTTCTGAAATCTCTTTGTTTCAGTTCTGCACGTAGAGCATTAGAGATGTCTTACGTGTGTGCCACTCACGACAGAAGCCCTTTTTTGGGGGGGATAACTTATTATAACTCAGCTTTTTATAATCTGCTCTATTTAGGTATGGAGTCCTGGTGTGGCACTGTGGGTTAATGCACCAGACTGCAAACCATTTGAACTGCAAGGTCGGTGGTTCAAGCCCACCAGCCGCTCCTCGGAAACCCTATATAGGGTTGCTATGAGTTGGAATCGATTCAACAACAACAATTTGGGTATGACTCATTTAACATAAAACTTAAAAAAGCTTATTTCCAAACAGGATCATATTTACAGGTATAGAGGCCAGGATTCCACTATATAATTTCACTATTTGGGGGGAACAATTCAATTTGAGGGGAAGAGGACCAATTAGCACATGAGTATGTGGCTCAGAAATGGATGACATTTCTGTCTGGAAGTTACCAGCAAAGAGCTAGTCCCTGAAAGCTGGTAGGCACCGGTTTCAAAGCCTGATAGCCCTGGCAGAAGAAGAACCTGCTAAAAGATGGGATGACAAGAGGTGTGGAGTTATCTTGGTTTGGCTTGGTTTCTCCTATTTTAATGTGGAAGTGTCTTGAGCCAGTTTAAATTGGATGACAAGGTGCCAGTGGAGGTATTGTGCTAGTGGTGGTAAGTGCCATTGAGTCAGTTCCAACCCATAGGGACCCAGCATAGTGTTTCCAAGGAGCGGCTGGTGAGCTTGAACCACCAAGCTTGTGGCTCAAACCAACTTTGCAGTCCAGCGTATTAACCCACAGCACCACACCAGGACTCCAGTGGAGGAATAACAGCTGAAAATGCAGGAAAAGGAGGAATGAGGTGGAGAGGAGGGAGTGGAATGGACTCAGGTTGAAGGAGAGTCCAGGTGGGGATAGGAGGATGCAGGCAAATGCTCTCTTGATAGCATCTCCATATGAAGTGGAAGGCCAGATGTTTAGAGAGGAGGTTTGAAATGGTAGCTACCAAGAAGGTAGAAGGGGGCTGGCAAGGGAACATGGAGGAAAATTCATGCACCACTGAGGAACTATGTGAGTTTGGAGACTTCACTGGTCTGTCCCTCTGTTCCTGTTGCCCCTTTCCCCACCACACCTATCCCTGCCTCCCTAAACAAAACATAAATGGGAATAAGGTTGTGGACATGTATGGCAGGAAGCCTGTGGACTCTCCTTTGCTTTCAGCCTACACCCGCTATTAGTGTTTGCATGGTGGTATCCCGAGGCCTATTTAAACAGGCAGCATCAATGGACTCGCATGGCAACAATAGTGAGGTTGGTCCAGGACCAGGCAGTGTTTCATTCTGCTGTGCATAAGGTTGCTGAGTTGGTACTGACTTCATGGCACCTAACAACAACAACATTTATACACACTGAAGAAAGAACAAGCCAGGTCCTGGAGGCTTGATGGCCACACAGAACAGCAGAGACAGGTGTTGAGCTGCACATCTACATTCACTTCACAGGGTCTTAAACTGGCCCAAAGCTCTGCAGAGTTTGTCAACCACACACACATACACACTCCCTCCCATAAAGCTTCCCCTTACCCCTTCACAGACACATCTGCTCTTGCTGCCTTTCTCTCTAGCTGGGGACTATGTGGAATATGGCAGGGAGCCACTCCCATCAGAAAGTTGGCCTCATGAGCCCGGGCTTCGAGTGTCCCAGGGACACCAGCACAGAGGGCTGGGCCCTAGGGCTGGGGAGGAGAGCCAGGCCTTGTTCCTCTGGATGGTCCCTGTATCACACTGGGAGACCCCAAAGGGTTCCAGGTCATGGGCCCCAAAGCCCTTCATTTACTTAGAAGGAAATTGAGACCCAGAGGGCAATATCTGGTCAAATTTCAATCAGTCTCTCCAGGGGGGAGAGAGATCAGAAGCCAGCCCAAAGGTCTCTGGGAGGTGGCTGGTAGTCTCAGTTACAGCAGAGTGAAGCAGGGACCTGTAGGGTGAGGATCACTGAGGACAGAACCTGATGTCCCAGATACTCCTCAGGCTCTGGCCAGTGCAGGTGACGTGGCCCCAGGATTTTGGAAGGTTCTTCAGGCCATGACTGGCCCTGAGCTTTTTCTCCATCTGTGCAGGTTTATGAGTGTCCAGAGCAGGGCCATTTATGTGAACCCCAGGGAAACAAAGGTGAAATCAGGTGGCCTCACCACCTGATTCCTGAATGCCTCACTGGCCCTTCTGGAAACTTGGTGCACTGGAAGTGTTTGGGAGACAATGAAGAGTCCTCTGCGGTTTTGAGCCTCCCTCCCACTTCCCTGCCTCCCACAAGCAGCCAGATGTTCACTAGTCACTCTGTGGAAGGCAGATGTGGCACACTCTGCTTCTGTAAAGATGTACAGCCTAGGAAACGTGGGCCACTTCTATTCTGTCCTATCAGGTCGCTAGGAGTCGGAATTGACTAGCAGCAATGGGTTTGAATTTTTGTTTGCCTCTGCCCCGCCCAGGTTCTACACAGCATTGACAAACACGATGTAACATGAAAACCGTGAGGATACTATGCACAGTGAAATTAGTCAATCACAAAAGGACAAATATTGTATGAGACCACTACTATAAAAAGTCAAGAAAAGGTTTCCATACTAAAAGAAATATTCTATGATGGTTACCACAGGTGGGAAGGAAGGTAGAATTATTCTTGGTGTGGTGCTGTGGGTTAATGTGCTGGACTGCAAGGTTGGTTTGAACTGTAATGTCGGTGGTTCAAGCTCACCAGCTGCTCCTTGGAAACCCTATACAGGGTCACTGTGGTTTGGAACTGACTCGATGGCACTTACCAAGGGGGTAAGCATGTGTAAACTTGGGTGATGGGGAAAGCAATTACAGCAAGAGGGAGGTTGACAAGAATGATGAAGGTAGGGGAGGACAAGGTAAGAGTTAAAGGGAATAGAAGATGGAGGGGATTGTGAGAATTGAAGTATGTGATTTGTTGAATGTAAAACTCATGATCTGCTCTATAAACCTTCACTCATTCACACATACACAGAGGTTTTCAGAAAATAACTCTTAATTGTTTTGCCCTGTCAAAAGAGCGGAAACACTAGGACCAACTTCACTACCCATTCTTGAAGGCCAAAACTGAGTTCCAGAGAGAAGTCACACACCCTAAGCTGGCTGGAGAGTGAGACACATGCAGAATGCAAAGACCCATGGCGGCAGAGGGGCTTGGAGGTAGGATCCAGAACCTCCTGCTTCCACCACTGTGAACATGTGGGCTGTGGAACACTCAGGGTGACTCCTAATTGCATGGAGCAGTGAGGGCTGACAGATCTATGCATACTAATGTTTATCGAAGCATTATTCACAAGAGCCAAGAGATGGAAACAGCCAAAATGCCCATCAATGGAAGAATGAATACACAAACTTTGGTACACACACACAATGGAATACGATGCAACGCTGAAGAATAACAATGAATCTGTGAAACATGGATGAACCTAGAGGACATTATGCTGAGTGAAAATAGTCAATAATCACAAAATGACAAATAT